ACTAATAAACAATGTCTGGAAAACTACAATTCTTTGCAAAAACCTTTAAAAGTTAAACCTCTTTTGAAATCTGTTGTTTGTCAACCCTATACAATGTGCTCTTTGTAAACTGATACAAATGTCTGTACGAAGGACCTCTGTGACATAGTGGAGAAAAAGTCCCTCTTCTGAGTCTCCTAGTTGCCACTAGAGGGCTCCCGAGGAGAGATAACCAGCTCTCTCTTGCTCTTCCCTGACAGCCACATCAAATTATCAAATCATATCAAATCAAATCAAAGTTTATTTATCAAATGCACAACAATATGGCATGCAGCAGTAGTTGCTGGCAATGAAATGTCTTTTTCTGCGAGCTCACAAAAATTACAAGAATCACAAAAATCACACAAATTCACAAAAACACAAAAATCACAAAATTGAGGCTACATTTTTTAAATTGAACAAAACTCAATGTGAGTAGAGCTGCTATGTGTCCATGGTGTGTGCAATATATACATGTAGTGCAGTTATGCTGAATATAGTGAGAATTGTGTGTCCATGTAGCCATTACAGGTGATTTGCTAAGGAGCTACAGGTTGGCTATTTAGCAGTCTAATTGCCTGGAGGTACAGTAGAAGCTGTTCCGTAGTCTGTTGGACTACGGAATATTTGTCATCATTAACACTACTTCTACTTTAATTGAGAGGACTATATTAAAGGCTCACTCAGTTACTTAGGCATTCATGCCAGAACCAACCAAAAGTCCTTAGCTCAGAAGTACACCCTTTCTCTATACCACAAAAATCTAGTCTTTTACAAAGCCTTAATGCTTGCTCTTTCTGAAAAAAAAAACTATAATGGTGTGATTGAATCCCCATTCTCCATATAAGTCTGAGATATTAGATCTGAAGCTGGTGAAAAACGCAGCCTTTAACACATGCACAGTCACACCTACTTTCACAGTTTAAGGGGATGATAAACAGGATATGTTGTCATTTGTATAAGATTCACAAGTTCCCCAGTCAAAATGGCTGCTGAATTAAGCAATTAATGTGTAGAGATTCTTGCACTATATGAACCTACATTTCCCATCAATAGTGGTCAATCCTAAACTTAGTAATACTGCAGGCAGAGTGCTGTTTCCATCTTCAGCTGCAGGTGAGGCTGTTCTTTCACAATCATGGGAGAATCTGTGAATCAGTGCAAAATTACATCTTCATCTTATTGGTCTGTTCACATACAATTGTAGTTTGACAGTGAAGGAATTTATTCTCAAAGTTCTAATGAGCAATATTCTCCTCTGGTATTTGTAATCCTGAAATGGAAACAGGTAAGAGGATATACGACTACAAGCTTA